TTACATGTGCAGCTCCCAGATAAGCGGATTTTGATGCCAGCAGTTTGGATGGCTGCCAGGTTAATTAATGCCTACGGTATACTGAGATTACAGGTTGCTTTCATGTTCTTCCATGCTCTTCCGTTGCTCTTGGAATGTCCTCCAGACCAGGGGTGTAAGCCAGGAATCCCTGCAGAGGAGAACGGTAATTTGCTGTTCCCTGCGACGGTTGTATACTCAAGTGATAGTTGTCATTATTCCTTGGCGGCTGACTTTCTTCTTGCTTAGCATAGCATTTCCTTGTAAGGGAGATAATTGCACAACACCATCTTCTTCATTTCTTATGAAGAAATGTTTTCCATATTAATTTGTATCAGCTCGTGTTTTTATGGAACTGAGTCAAATGAGCTTGTTGCCCTAAAACGGATTAGACCAATTCAGGGTCAATAAGTCCATGAATGTCTCTTGAACTTGTTGGTCTGGCTGCATACTTGGCTGTGGAAGTTGATGAAACTGTAATAGGCAAAAGTTGGGAGGGCAATGCCATATGCACACATGCTCCATAATCACCCTGATTTTCTGTTCTTATGGGCCTAATTAGCCTCTGATCTGCCCCAGTATGGTGGCTGTTCTGTTCCTACCTGGGAGAAGAGAGTAGGCTATTGGGACAAGTGGGATAGAGAAGTGCTAGCTAAATGAGTTTTCCAAAAGAAATGACATCTTTGAAGTTTTCTGATTGCCTCTGTGGTGTGAATCGCTGTGTGTTAGTATTTAAATGTCATTCTTCCAACTCAGTATCTATATTCTCCATTGAGAGGCAGGTCTGCCTAGGGAGGACTGTATGAGATTCAGGACACTGTCACATTACATAAGACCAGTTGTTGTATTAGTTTTGCTAAACAGGGATATTTCTCCTGGGGTCAAATGTGCTGTCGAGAAGCGGGCAATTTACCTGACCTTTTACACCGCATCTGTACCCTGGAGCCCTGTTCTCACTCAGTCCCTTAAGCCCTGTGACAATTAATGGTCTCTAATCTGCTGACCATTTGAGGAAGGATTATTATATTTGCCACGTTCCTTATAATCTTTTTTAAGCATGCTCTAATGGCCACTTCTGCGGACAGGATATTGGGCTGGAGGATTTTTTATGTGACATACTGTCATTTGAGCTCTTCTCACAACCTATTCTCTCAGCCTTTATCCTGTTTATTCAAATACTCTTTGCATTTTCACATTCCTGACAGTTTATGTCTGACACCAAAGAGAGTTAACAATTTATTTCAGAGAACTTAATTACAAGCCCAAATTAAAAGCACGCAAGAAGAGTACAGATATGCTGTGAAATCAGAGAAGAACCGATTAGGTTGAGACATTTCTCTTCTCGCTGGCTTCAGCTTCTGCTGCCTGCACCTGGGTGATGTGGTGAAGGACCAATTTCCTGCTGTTAACTGTAAGGACTTGAGGGGAGGATAAACACTGCTGGCAAACCAATACTGCAAGTTGTGTTTTGGGTCAAGTCTCTGACACTGCATCTTATGTTTTGAAAATTGAACAGAATACCTCGTGGCCTTAGTGACTTTGTTTTGTAGGTTGGGAAAGCAACTGCATGTCAAGAGAAAAGATAAAGGGTAACAGAATTTTCAACTCCTGATGAGAAGTTGCTGTTAATGGAAAGTCATTTACTGCCCATATCCCAGTGCATATTATTTTAGATAGCCAATAGTAGCAAGAAGCGGCTTCTGAAAAAGGCAGTCATCCTAGAACTAATTTTTTGCATAGGAGCAGATATCTAGTAGATTTTCAGGCAATATTATTATTTGCTTTTTAAAGTGATGATTTGAGTAATGCAAAACGTAGGACAGAAAAAATAGGGAAGAGAGGAAGAAACCTCAGAAAGAGTAGCTCTGAAACCTTTGCAAACCAAACAGTAATCCAGACCCCCAAGTGATGTCTGTCTTGTTCCATTGAAATAAAATGGTGCTATCTGAACTTAGAAGAGCTGAGAACCTGCCCTTCTCAGAAGCAGATTTGGATAAAGGCACGACATTCCCTCCTATTATGTGGACAGTAGCATCCTTTAGATAAATTTCCAATACAAATCTGAGCTCTTTCATTTCTTATTTGTGTTATGGTGGTATTAGCAACTGTATTGTGCTTGGCTTTCATGTTCATCACAGAAAATAGAGACAGCCAGGCACTGGTGTTGCTGTTATGTGCCCTCAGATAACTGTGTAATAGATTGTTTCACCTGAAACACTTCCCATGGCTCCCTTTGTAGACCTCTGCCCTGTTTATGTGCCTGGTTTAGGATGAGACGAACCAGGCCCCAAGCATGCCTTTTTTGTTCATTGGTTGTAAAGGAAGTCTAGATATACATTACTACCTCAAAGGTAGGTAGTTTAATTAATTGACAATTAGTCATGATTTTTCCCATGTCAATGTTCCTAACAAGATTTTTCTGTCTTTTGCAATGTGTGCTGGGTCTTGTGTATAGTGGTACAGCTATTATAGACCCTCCCTAAAGAATGGTTTTGTGATAATGTAATTACTATCCTTGTGCTGCCACGTGATTACTTAAGGCAGCACCTACTGGATTAACAAAAAGTTAATCAGTGCAATTATCTCATCGTATTACAGAGATGAAACTTACGGCTGCAGACCACGGCTCAGGTAGCCTGCAGGACTTAGGACACCCAAGTTGCGATGGGTTTGCGGTGGCTGATCTGCGGTAATGGCAGACGTGAATCGCTGCGCGTTGGGTTAGCTCCGTGGCTCAGAGCTAAGCCTGCGTGTCTTCCTCTGTGGCTGCCTGGTGGGTTTTGCAGCTGAGCTGATGGATGGCGATTTTAAACCCTACGATACCATTGAAGTCCCTGCAATGGCTCGTGCACAGATCGGAGCTGTGAGATCCATGGATTAGCTAATATTAACTTCCCCTCTAAACACCTGTTTTGTTCTGCTTCTCTCATATCTCTGTGGTCACCTTTTTCTCCTTCAGCTTGGAAAAAAAATTTGGCTTAATATTTGCAAAAGGTTTTTTTGAAAGTTCTTTTTTTGTCCCACTTACTGTCTAGTTTGTCCTCAGTGTTGCCATCTATCAGCCTTATGCTTACTCTGGCCTTGCTGCTGCATCAAGTACCATGGCTTGTTTAGTTTTAACGCTGACATTTCATCCAGCACCTCCAGAGGGAAAAAGAGGCCACGGGCCATGCCTCATGTCTGACCACTTGACAGCAGTGAAAAAAACCCATGGCAGTGTATCAAAACAATGTGTCTCATTCACTAGACAAACTTCAGGCTGTGAGGCAGAAAGTGATACTGATGATGCTGAAATAACAGACTTCTGAAGCCATGCTGCATGTTTTTGTGGGAAACGAATACGCAACACTCAGAGGTATTAAGGTGAACTGCATGCCTTAAGGCAATAAAACATTGCTGTTATCTTGCAGTGCATTGCTGGTACAAATCGTTGTGGGACTGTGTGTGAAGCACTGTTGCTGTTCGGCGCTCCTCAGTCATTTTTATCTTGTAGTGACATCATCCTACTGTGTAGTTGCGTATGATCCTAGAGACATTTGCAAGGCCTGCCCACCATTCTGAGCAGCGTGGTATTTATTGTGGGGCTACCAGAAGAGCACTTCTAATACTTTTAATTGACTCTGAGACCTATCCTATAGGTTACTAAATGTCATGGCAGCGGGAGGTGTTGATGCGTGTGGGAACTCTCCAGCTAGACCCCACAACAGATCGTGGGGTCCTGATCTGCATCACTCTAGCAAACTCTAGGTCTCGTCAGCAAATATGTGTCTTTGCTTAATTCTTCTTGCTAGAGATGAGGATGTGCACGGTCACTAGATCATTTACGTACTGACTACCTTATGTTGAATCTGATGTGGTATGATGTGGATTTTTGTCAGATATTGTCATAGTCCTTTTTCTGGAAGCTCCAGATTGGGAGCAGGAAGTTTCAGAGGAAAGAAAAAAAAAATTCCAGTTGAAAACAACAATTTTCCAGAACATGGCAAATGTATGAATGCATGGATCTTGTTTAACTCCCTGTGGACTAAAACCTGAGACAGCAGAGAGTACACACCCCAGATTTCTTACTTTTAAGCAGAAAAAAAAAATTAAGGCAGTTGTTTGGGACCTTGGAGCCTGACTAAGAATTTTTTGCATGCTCACAAGAAGAAAATAACATACCTTTTAAGTGGCTCTGAAAGAAGAATGATCTAAACTGTCTGGGCTAGGATTGTTTGTCAAATTTTGGGGGAATTTCTAAGTGACCTTGTAAAGCCGTTGCAGCTTCTGGTTTAGAGAAAGCCTGAAGGCTTGCTCTGCGTTGCTGCATTTAGCTGGAATTTATCAGCAAGCATAGGAGCTAGCAAAGAAGCAGTATTTTACTTTCAGTAACCCCAGGGATACTTTTAGAGATACTGAAGTAGTGGGTCATTCAGTCAGTATCTACTATGTTCTTAATAGATCCTGATTCAGACTGGAGGAATGTGTGAAGCAGAAGATGACAAGAAGGAATAATAAGGTTACAAAGTCTGCCCTCAGGATGCGGCAAGGTTGTTCCAGGATCACTATAACTGCTACCACGTTTCTTTAAAAATATCTAGTCACTGGTGATGAACAGTTGGTCAACTCTCTTGCTACTACCTCAAGCTCTGT